TGCAGCGTGTGCTTGTGTGTGAGTGTGCGTGTGAACACGCATTGATTGTGTGTGTGTGTGTCCTTGTGCATACATGAGCACACAGTGAGGATTTGGGGGGGGGTGAGTGTGCCCACACAAGTGTGGGTGCCCCTGGGTGTAGGTGTGCCCCCTGTGTGTATGTGTGCATGAGCATGTCTCTGTCCTTAGGGGGTTTCATGATTGTCTGTGTGTGCATCTGGACGCATGAACGTGCACAGATATGTGCCCCTGTATGTGCCTGCACCCACATGAACATGCTCAGGTGTGTGTACACACACACATGTCCCTATGTGTCCCTGCACACACATGGGAGGGTGTCTGTGTGCAGGTGTGTGGCTGTGCCTTCTGTGTACGCACACATGTACACACACATGTGCAGTTGTGTGCACACCTCTGTGTCTGTGTGTGCAATTTTGTGTGTGTGTGTGTGTTTGGGGAGTGCCATCCTGCCCCTCACCCCCTCATCCCACAGCTCTGTGTCTCCTGACCCCACTCTGGGTCACCCTGAGGTGCAGTACCATGGCCAGAGGGGACTCTGAGCTCCCCATTGCTGCTAGAGGGCCCAGAGAGGGCCCACGGCCACACTGGGCGAGTGTGACAGCACCCAAATCATTCCAAGATGGTGCAGCTCCTACTCCAGTCTGGACATTCTCCTGGGAGCATGAATCCCACAACCCTCAGGAAGCTCCCACCAGTGCTGGTACTGTCCTGGTGGAGGATGCCCACTCTGCCCTGGACTGCCCATGGCCTCGTCCCTCTTTCCCCAGCCCCACGGCCTCTCCTGCTGCTCTGTGTTGGGCCTTGGAGTCACTCTGAGTTTTCCCAGGACAGGCAAAGGTTGGCCAGATGGGCCCAGCCCATGGATCCCACTGTGCCTGTGGCCAGGACACACCTGGAAGTGCTGAGATGATATCCGTGAATTATGAGATGCCCACGTGCATCCGCTCACACACACCCCAGTGCCCACGTCCCTGTCCCCAGCGTCTCTCCTCTCTGGTTGCAGGTGACCAGGATGCTGTGCCATGGGAAGCCCTGGAGGTCTATGTGCAAGGGACTGGTCCTGGGGACCCTCTTGACCAGCTTCATGTTGCTGCTCTACTCCTACGCAGGACCCCCACTGCAAGTCAGCGTCACTGAGTGAGTCTGGGGTCCCTGGGGGCCCCCACATGTCCCCCACAGCTTGGCCACCCCAATCCACATTTGGCCACCCCAATCCACATGGGGAACCCGCAACTGGAAATGGTCTTGGGACTTTCTGGGCTCTGGGGGCTTCACACCAAGATGTCCCTTCCTGCTGGAGGCTGCACCCTTAGGTGAGGGGAAGGAGGACTTCAACTCTGGGGGGGGCTGGGGATGTTCATCCTGAGGGTACTCCCTCCTCCTGGATGAAAAGAGAAGCAAAGAGGGAAGAGAAGAGGGAAGTATGGAGAGGAGGAGAGGAGGGGAGGGAAGGGGAGGAGAGGAGAGGAGAGGAGAGGAGAAAGAGACTAAGAGAACAGAAAAGGGAGTCTTGGATTCTTTCACTGCCAGAACTTTGCAGGGTTCAGCTCCTGATCTTGCTTCCTGTCATCAAATTTATCTCCAAGCTTATAAACAAGACTCATGTGCATGTGCCTGCTGAGTGTGCCTGGTGCCAGCCTGTGCTGTCGGTTGGGATCGTTATCAAGGATCAGCTTGGCGAGTTCATTATGGGTGTCCAAAGTCACCTGACACTCTGGGCTCTGTTCCTTGTTCCAGGCAGCTCAGATAACACCCCTTGTGTCCTCTTGTACTCCCTGGGAGCCATGAGCTCATCTTCAGGACTTGCCTCTGTAATGATTTCCCTCTTTGCTGAGGGCTGGATCCTCCATGGATGCCATGAGGGCTTGAGAACTCCCAGACCTCCTCTATGGATCCTACAAGGGGTTGAGAGCTTCCAGGCCTCCTCCATGGATCCTACAAGGAGCTGAAAGCTTCCAAACCTCCTTCATTAATCCTGTGAAGGATTGAGAGCTCCCAGATCCCATAAGAACATTATCAGCTCCTCTCATGGAGTTATGGCCATGTGCTCTTTGATGCACATCTCAGCATCACCTGCACCAGGACCACCACAGCCATGCCTGTGGGGAGGGGTGTTGGACCCCCTGCTTAGGCTGCAATGGTGCTGGTAGGGGCTGACCATCATAAAGACCCCTATAGCAGCACATCCTCATGGCTAGGGTTGTCCAGGGGTGAAGGAGCTTGGTTTGGTCACTCAGAGATGCATCTGATGTCAGGGAGTTCATGGGAGGGCTCTGCCCTGCTCAGCGAGGGGCTCCTGATGGGTGGGTGCCCTGCTCCTGCTGGGCTTGTGGCTGGGGATGAAGTGGGCTCTGCCTGAAGCTGGGCTTGTCTCCAATGGGGATTCTGGGGGTGTTGGGGCGACCACACATCTCCAGAACCTATTCCCAGGTCCAATACCCATCCCCAGATCTAGCACCTATTCCCATTTCTGGCATGCATTCCCAGGTCTAGCACTCATCCCCAGATCCAGAACCCATACTCAGGTCCAACACCCATCCCCAGATCCAGCATCTATTCCCATTTCCAACACTCATCCCCAGATCCAGCACCTGTTCCCAGGTCCAGCACCCATTCTCATTTCCAGCACCTATTACCAGGTCCAGCACTCATCCCCAGGTTCAACACCCCTTTCCACCACCCATCCCCAGATCCAGCTCTTCTAGGGTGGAATATGCCCAAGCCTTCACAGTGATCTGCCCTCACTTTGGTGTCCCATCTCTTCTCCCCTCAGGATCCCCGTCCCTTCTTCCTGCTCCTCCCGCCCATCCCCTGGGAAGGCTCTGTCTGTGTCCAATGGCACCGTCGGCCCCGTGGGACGCAGCTGCCGGCCCAAGCTTGACGTCATGTTCATGAAGACCCACAAGACAGCCAGCAGCACCATCCTCAACATCCTCTTCCGCTTCGGTGAGAAGCATCGCCTGAAATTCGCCTTCCCCAACGGCCGCAACGACTTCTACTACCCGTCGTACTTCGAGCGCAGCCAGGTGCAGCACTACCGCCCGGGGCTGTGCTTCAACATCATCTGCAACCACATGCGTTTCCACTACGAGGAGGTGCGCGAGCTGCTGCCGCCCGACGCCACCTTCGTCACGGTGCTGCGGGACCCTGCCGACCTCTTTGAGTCCTCTTTCCACTACTTCGGGCCCGTCATCCCGCTCACCTGGAAGATTCCAGGGGAGGACAAGCTGGCCGAGTTCCTGCGGGACCCCCGGCACTACTATGATCCCAACGGGTTCAACGCTCACTACCTCCAGAACCTTCTCTTCTTCGACTTTGGCTATGACAACAACATGGATGCTGACAGCCCACTGGTGGAGGAGCACATCCAGGAGATTGGCCGCCGCTTCCACCTCATCATGTTACTTGAGTACTTCGATGAGTCGCTGGTGCTGCTGAAGGATCTGCTGTGCTGGCAGCTGGAGGATGTCCTCTACTTCAAGCTCAACGCGCGGAAGGGCTCCCCCCTCTCCCGGTTGACCCCTGAGCTCTACGAGCAGGCGACTGCCTGGAACCTCATCGACTCCAAGCTCTACCGCTATTTCAATGCCACCTTCTGGCGTAAGGTGGAGGCCTATGGGAGGGAAAGGATGGCCAAGGATGTGGCTGAGCTGCAGCGGGAGAACGAGAAGATGAGGAGCATCTGCATCGATGGGGGACACGCTGTGGATGCTAGTGCCATCCAAGAGTCCTCCATGCAGCCCTGGCAGCCGCTGGGGGAGAAGACCATCCTGGGGTACAACTTGAAGAAGAAGATCAACAAGAAGCACCAGAAGCTGTGCCGCAAGATGCTGACGCCCGAAATCCAGTACCTGACTGACCTGGGGGCCAACCTCTGGATCACCAAACTGTGGAGCTACGTGCGGGACTTCCTCAAGTGGTAGGGGCTGGTGGGCACCCACCACGCCCCGGGGAAGAACCAGGTGCTTTAGTTTTAATTACTCATGGTTCTTTTGGTTTGGAGCTAGCTGGGGGCTCCAGCACTCGGGAACTTTTGGGGGGACCTTCCAACCCCTTCCTGCAGAGCCCCAGCTTGAGCAGGAGCTCCAGGGCGAGGAGAACAGACCCTCTGCCTCCACTCACGGGATCAAGGATTGAGGGTTCAGGGGTGGGTTTTTCCAGCAGGATCCACTTCTTGCTTCCCCGCGGAAAGGCTGGAGGAGGTATTTGTGAAGGACGTGGCCTTGTCACAGCGGGAGTGGGACATCCATCACCACATTGCTGGGGGCACACTGTGGGCTGGGTGGTGTGGGTAGGGAGGAGCTGGGACAGAAGATCCCCCTTGCCCAGGGAGGGTAGAGCTGCCCGCAGGGAACCCAGCCCTGCAGGGACTCCTCAGATCACTGTTTCCCTTGAGCCCTGATTTTGGGGTGTTGGAGCCTGCTGCCCCACTCCAGCCCATGGGTGTGATGAGTGCAGCACATTCTCAGCCCACCCACTGCAGGCTGTGACCTGGAGCCACCTGGAACCGTTTGGAGATTGGAAAACCCACCCCAAAAACACTGGCATTTATCACCAGGTCCATGTGGGCAAAGGGCACCCCCTCCTTGCCCTCCATCAGCCCAGTTAGAGGGCCCCATGGCCATAGTCCCCACACGGGAGGTCTCTGGGGTCTGGTGAGAACTGGTGTGGGGAGGAGATGGAGAGAGGTGTGTGATGGCCACCGTCCCAGTGATGCCATCCCCCAGACACAGCAGGGATGCCAAGGACAGGATCTATCCCCCAGGCATGGTGGGAATGCTGAGGGCAGGGTCCATACCCTGGACACAGCAGAGATGCCAAGGAAAGGGTCTGTCCCCTGGACATGGTGGGGATGCCAAGGGCAGGGTGCATTCCCTGGGCACGGTGGGGATGCCAAGGCATCTATCCCCCAGGCACAGCAGGGATGCCCAGGACAGGGTCTATCCTCTGAGCATGGTAGGGATGCTGAGGGAAGGTCCATCCACACCCTGCCATGGGGACAAACCTCGTGCGTCCCAGCTGGGCTGGATGACACTGCAATGCTTTGTCCTGCTGAGAGTGGCCCTGGCTGGGCATGGAGGTGGCACTGACAGCTGAGCCTCCCCTGCAGTGAAGGGACACCCCCAGCCCCTCACCTGTGTTTGGCTCCTTCTGTAAAGACCAGGAATAAAGAAACAATTCTACTTTTGTAAGATAATTGTATATTGGGCAGTTTTTAATATAAGGATGGTCCAGCTGGTCTCCTGCATCTCCTTCTTCTCTGGGATAGGATGGATGGGGTGGGGAAGTCCCAGGATGCTCTGCCAGTTCCTGCCCCTCCTGGGGGGTTGGCCTGCATCCCAGCTACTCAGCTGGCAGGTGACCATGGGACTTGCACCAGATCTTTTCCAGCCAAAGCACCAGTGGTGCCAGGGTGGACATACATCTGGACTCACCACGGGGGCCCCCAACTCAACTGTGTGAGACCCTTCCTATGGACACTG